CTTTAAGACAACAAAAGCCTGCCTGTGCAGACGTCCCTCGCTAATTTCGGCATGCAACAAGAAATAGACTCCTACAATTGCATCTACATCAATTTCAGTACATAACTGTTCAAGCGAAGTTTCGTAAAAAAAGAAATGGAAAGTTGGTAAAACAGTTAGGTTGAGCTGTTATAAAAAAGCACTCGCATTTCAGTCTATAGGGAGTTTTAGCAACGACGACGGCGACGTTAGCGAGACCGTCAAAACAGCAATAGCTGTATAAGCAAAACAACAGGTTTGCACGTGCATCACGCTTTTCTGTACATTTCTTAGCCGTTAATGCACGACTTAACGACGTGACAATGCCTAATTTCACGTTTTATGGAGGACGTTAACAAGCGACGACGAAATTTATTTCTCTTTCTTAACTTGAATGGGGTCCCCAAGAAATCAACTCTAGAGAAATTTGCCTACTTTAGACATTTTCAGCGAATTGGAATAAACGTGAAAAAGTTTGAAAAAACGCCAATTCATTTTAAATGTGACGTTTTCGTTGCTGTCGCCGTCGTCGATGCTAAAACTCCCTTATGTCTCGAACGGGAGCGAGCCAATTGTTTTCCCTTTTCCTAAATTTTTCAGTTCCGCCACAACACTGATCATTATCAAAGGCAACGTTTTCTTCCCTCAGTAACAAAAGGCTTACTTGTCATGAAAATAAAGTTAAGAGAAATATAGAGTGCAAACAACTATTAATATAAGAAAAGAGGAAAGCAAACCTGGCAATTTATCAGTGGAATTGTTATGTTTAACGTTAGATTTGCCTTGTGGAGTTAAAAATGTTAAGGGATCAGCCTCGCTACCTGCAAATTATCTGGACGTAGTTAGTACGTCGCCGCCCCCTGCCCGAGAAAGAGTGGCTAAAACATATAAAAAGCTGTGGGAAGTCGACGAAAAACGATGTATATCATTTTAGCTTAGCGAAGTAACATTATGAACATCGTGTTTCATCAGGGCTGCCTAATGACTGGATGCCATAACGGAGGTTCTTGCTTGTTCGACGAAGGGAAACATACGTTTGCTTGTTCATGCAGTTGGCAATGGAGTGGAGAAAAATGCGAAATTAGTGCGCGTAAGTCCAAACTGTTTTTGTTCCTTCAGTCAGAGTACGACACGACGCGTATTTTATGATAATGTAAAGTTCAATCTGCAGGTCTGGAGAGGTATTGACAAGATAACCGTCTCGTTTCCTAGCTTTAAAATTTGCAAAATGGATTGCTGTTTTCATAGGATTAATCTTAGGTTCACAATGAAAGTCTATTCTGTGTCAATTTAAGAGTCATAGAATCACGTTAATTAGTGAAAATTTATTTGGTCGGTCAATTTGAGGATAATTCTGTTAGTCAACAATGTTGACTATGGCCCGGTTCAGACGCCGCTCAGTCCACTCGTTAATTAGCGAGTTCCGATCGGACAACGGCGACGTCCATGAAAAGGTCGCTGTGATAGACTTCGCATCATTATAAACTTTTACGAGATTATCCCAATTCGCCCTGTTACTTAAAAAAAGGGAATTTTTTGCTGGAGCTGAAGAGAGGGGACCGCGCCCGAGTTCAAACAGAGATTATCGCCTTGCCGTTCTCGTTCTCAAATAAACTTAAAAATTGGTCATTTCACGCGTATTTCACGTCGTCGTTGTGCAGGGACAGCAAAGAAAAGTACAAAAAAGCGTGGTGCACGTGCAGAGTTGTTGTTTTGCTCTTTAAACCTATTGCTTTTTTTACTTTCTCCTGTCGTCGCCGTCGTAGTTTCGTAAGGTCCCCTGTGTGTCATGTGCCGAACCTCACTGATGAATTAAGCTACGGCAAAAGAGCGGCGTCTGAATCAGTTTGGTACGGCAGTTTTAGTTTGGTGCGGCAAAAGCGTTAAGTTTGACAGAGGTTGTCGAACTTTTGTCCAACGTAACTTAAGCTCTACACACGGTGCGCCGTCCGAATCGAAGTCGCGCCAGTGTCTCTCCAAAGTCGAACTTATTCAATTAGGTTCGGCACATGAAACGAACGGCGTCTGAACCAGGCCTATGGTTGACGAGTTGGTGGGCAGAGAAGGTACACCAATACTTTGTACACCTTGTTAGTGCTCTACATTTTGCGTCTGCTAAAAGTACCTGTTGTTAAGGCTAGGTATTTTTTTATATATATTTTTTATAATATAAATATGCAATTTTATGATACAGCTTTTGTGTTTGTTTTTGGTAGTTCCTCGTCCAGTGGCATGCTTTAGAGGTGCTTCAAATCTCGAGGAGAAACTCGATGATTTTAGAAGTGAAATCAAGTTAGGAACTGACAATTATACAGATGTAGTGGAAAAGTGCGCTGAGTTGGCTCGCTCCAAACATTACAAGATGTTCGCTTTGGGCATGGATGGTCTGTGCTTATCTGGAGCTGATACTCAAAACAAATACCATATCAATGGTACGAAAGGGGCGGAGTGTGAAGACGGTATCGGCACGGGAGATAGTATCTTCCTTTATTCCTTAGGTTAGTGTTGGTATTCAAGGATTGTCTATCCTCGTTCAAAAACTAGAAAATTCAGACGTGGAGTGTGCCGCTGCAACAAGAGAAGCGCATGTCTTTAAAACAATTATATAGAAACGTGTTTGTTAACAATATGTCTTGTAAGGTATCTGATCAGTGTAATCTATATTCATCTTACCGTAACAGAAATGACTTGTTAACATGATATGCCTTTTCTGGAGGCCAATATGGGAAGCTATCAATGTCAAAGTTACAGGGACACGATGATGCTTAATGCGAGCTTACAACTTGAGTAATATTAAATATTATATAGATGGAGAATAATGCAAAACAAGGCAAGGGGTACAATGCTGAATCTCTGACAAAGCCACTTGAAACTTGTTTCTCTTCTCCTCACAATTAATTTTCCTTCTTCCTTCTTCTAAAGGAAATAGAACCACAGACCAACCAAATTCATGTCCTGACAACTTCGCAAGACAAATAATTTGTTTGTCAGGGACTGGTTATTACTCATCGCCAGGTTTGGGTCCAATGATTCTGTCGGGTAACATAATTTAGGTAAGAAATTAAAGGGGTAAATATCCAGTGATATGGCTGATGAGTGAAGTTTTCAGCCAGTAATGTGAAAATAACGGAGGTTTCCGAAGGACTCAAATTGTACAAAGCCAAGTATTCGATCAAATTAAATAACAGTCTTTTATATGGCCTGCCGGAGTATCAACTCAATAAGCTACAGGGTGTGCAGAACATGTGTGCTAGATTAATATGCAATGAAAGTAAATATTGCCACATTACTCCTTTATTAGTAGATTTACATTGGCTGCCTGTAAAGTTCAGAATTGAATTTAAAATCCTGTTGATTGTTTTTAAGATTTTTAAGGGCTCAGCACCTTCATACTTAAGATTTTTAATTACTCCTAAGCCTGTATCTAAATATAATTTAAGAAGTTCTTGCGACAGTACCCTACTTAGTTATCCGAATGTTAAGCCCAAGGCAACTCTCGGTGAACGGGCTTTTCTGTTTGCTGCACCTAAGCTATGGAATGCTGTGACAAGATTTATTAGGGAATCCATTTCAGTTGACACTTTTAAGAGAAAGTTGAAGACTCACCTTTTTAAAAAAGCATTTTGTACCACTTAGATTATAAGATTGTAATTTAGCTTACTAGACTATAAATAATTTTCAGCTTATAATTTTTAAGATTTTGCTAACAGATTTTTTCTTTTTAACTTTTAGCCATTAGTTTTTCTATTCTATATCTATATTATCATCTTATTTTATCATTTTTACTATCATAATTATTCATAATTTTTATTATCAGTAGTATTATTGTTCTGTTTTGTTTTTTGCTTTTTTCCCTATGGCGCATTTGAATATATTTATATAGATATTTGCGCCTTATAAGTTTTTGAAATTAATTAATTAATAATCCCCGACTACATTCATCTTTATAGATCCAGCACCGAAACTTCAGCCCATTGGATGTTATAAAGATAATGTGAAGGAACGAGCCCTACCAGTGTTCTATGCTAACGTCCGAAGTAACATCGACTGGTTTAACATGGAATTAACAGTAAATCAGTGCGCACAAGTGGCTAGTGATATCGGCTACGAATACTTTGGCGTCCTATTTTACGGCGAGTGCTACAGTGGCAGGAATGCTAAGGAAAGGTATGCCAAATATGGAAACATTACTGAGGGATGCTGGAAGTTTGATAATCAAACTGGATTTGCAGTTGGAAAAGAGATGACAAACTTTGTGTATCGGATTCTGAACTAGCCGATGATATTTGTAAAAAAATATTATAACGGCAACAGTGTTACAGATTTTTTATTCATTTACCTATTTCTTTATGTTTTGTAAATAACGGTAATTGAACTGAGGGAAGTGCAATTTTGTCTGAAATCGTACGCGTGATTTCAAAATCGGAAGAGCGTGCTGCACGCGGATTTGATTTGAAATCACAAGACAGTATTTCAGCCCAAAATTGCACGACACGAAGTCAATTACCACTTTATTCTTTTTGAAATCGCAGAATCCGGTCCATACCATCGATCTAATAGCCGGTTTGTTCAAAAGCGGAAACAAAAAGACTTTACATCTCATTTGTATTTGAAACAGAAATGATGCGATATAGAGCAAAAATGGTGCGATTTAAAACCGAAATGACGTGATTTAGAACATGAATGAAGCGAATCGGAGCAGATGTGATTTAGAGCAAAAAAGTGATTCATAGTACATCACACTGCTGAGAGCCAATCAGATTGCAGGCATCCATTGTGATTTCAAAATGGATATGATAGAGGGGGAAAAGGAGCGGAAATCTCTTCAGGAAGTGGCGGAGATAAGTAACTAGGGTCCCAGAAAAGATGAAGCCCTTAAAATAGGAAACTCTAACCACTCTCCTAAACCGGCAGCACTTGCTTTGGTGATTTTCTGTCCTAGAAGATATAAAATAGAACCCTTTTGCATAATGAACATAAAGAGATAACCTAGGTCCCTTGCGTCCTTTTCTTAAACTTTAGTGCAGCTAAGGTCATGTTGTTACAAAAGTTTAGAATCACGTGACAATAAAGCAAAGGGCCTGCTGGTCAGTGAGAGCTTCTTAATACTTAACTGGTGAGGTTTTTGCAAGACTGGAATACACTTCTTGGCGTACTGTGACTTACATTACTCTGATCGTAAACTGCTCCCTCTTGAATTTACTCAAGGATTTTGAATCTATATTGTAAACATTGTTTAAACCATTTTACAAAGATACGTTCTATACGTCCTCGCCATTAAACGTTTTCTCGAGTAAATGTAAACAACTTATTTTGATTGAATCATTTTAAGCTTCAAGGTATTTAGTTACTGGCTATTAAAAATTATAATAATAGTAACAATAGTAATAATAATAAATCCCGATTTGTATAATGGAGTATGTGACCAAAAAATCCTTAATGCTCTAACAGTATACGTAGGGTATAGAATGAATAACTTTACTTATACACGGTTAAAAACCATCTGTGACTGAATAATTTTTTACAAGAGATTAAAGGTAATGATACGAAGTATAAACTGTCCTGTCAGTGCAAACTTCTATAAGGCAAATTACGAGTATTTCGTAAGCGAGCTTACTGTGTACAGCTCTTTGCATTCGTAATTATGTACCAGGAACGTTGTCATAAAACATCTTATCACAACAGTAGAAAAATAAATTACGTCTAGCAATTTTACAGAACTATTCTTTGGCGTACGTAACAATATTTCGGCTAACAAAATTAGCCTTCCTCAGGGCCAGAGCGATTTTTTTAACGCAGGGTTCCTAAAAATTAAATTTGAAATTGGCTAATAACTACATAGAGTGATATACAATAAAAACAGAAAAAGTTCAATATACAATGTTCATTCCTTCGGTTCAGACCGTCTGGTGACAGGGTTTCGCCTCTATCTATGAGGTACGCTTAATCTCTTGCCTTGTGGTGTGACATGCTGAGAGTGGGTTGTAATTCCAGCGGATTAAGTTCCATGTCTTCGATCGAGTGGCCAGATTGATGCAAATTTCAAATTTAAATTTTAGGAGCCGTTAAAAGATATTTTCTCTTGGTATAGCTCTGGCCCTGAGGAAGGCTAATTTTGTTAGCCGAAATATTGGCCCATAACAAATCAGCCCTTTGCCGTAGTGCCAGCCTTGCATTCAGTTTTGTTTTATTCACACATCAAGTGACGTCTGCCTGCAGCATCTCTTTAATTAGAGATCCGGCAAAAGGAACCAGTCACTTTTACTTACGCATTGTGTGGACCTCTGCATTCAAACAGTTTTTCCAAAAATTAAAATACCCTTCTGAATGTAGGTAAAGTGTTTGGCAAACATAATTTAAAATTGAGAAAATGTAAAAATATTTCAGATAATAAAAATGCATTTCGCTATGAACCATGAATTTAACACTAAAAGTCACTACAGTATTTTTTCGCTAATCTGTCTTTTCCAAGAGTCTTTAACGCTCTCGACAACTCACTGAATGTAACTGATTCCCCTCTGTCAAACCAAACCATCAACATTTGAAATGATTTTTCCTTCACACTCGGATATTGCACTTGATCAGCTTGTATCTCATCAATGTTGGCGTTTGGTACTTTCAATTTAAGACCTAAAGATTTCCAAAATTTGCCGATGTCGCGTGATAAGTCGTCAAGAACTTCCTCTGTGAG